ATATGAATTGATCGACAAAGGAGTTCCAATTTTTCTAGATTCGATTTCCAAATTTGGTAATAATCCTGACTGTATTAATATTTAATAATTACTCATATTAACCCAAAATAGTAAAGATCATTGTTATCTGTAATATTGAGAAAAATTTATTATGACATATATGAATTTTTAAAAAATATCCAGCAAACTGAATTTATATGAAAAATCTGTTAAATACATTAAACCAAGATAAGATTGTTATAGAAAAATTTGGGTTTGAAAATTTATCTGCTAAACCCCCAAATCTGCTATACCGAGGTCTGCTATACCAAGACTCACTGTGTATGTGATCACCAGCTCTAATCTCTAGTTTTTTCAACAGGGATCCTCCTGAAAATGTATATCACATCATTGCATACATGATTAATGGATAATATTTATTTTTTTTTTACATCTGCAGTATGTAACTGCAATATGATTTTTATGTTGTTATTTCAGTAACATTTTTTATATATTAATAAAGTAAGGTTATGTAACCATTTGTCTCGATCAGAATTATGTGGATGTCCATGCTTTATTTTCATCAAAATCACATGTGCATAAAGAATCTTTACACTGATCACTTAGCAAGAAAAAAAAATGAATGTGTCTCAATACTTTAATATTAATATAATATGTCATTATAAGATATTAATATGTCTTGCAAATCTAGAAATAACAGAAACAAAACTCAAGGTAGATTTACTACAAATCCTACACAATATTTACAATTTCAAACTGGGATAAATATGATCATATTATTCATGAAGACTAACTATCATAAATAAGAAGACACAAGATGTAAAGGAGGTATTTGATTATGAAGAGATATTTAGATATCTCAAAGTGAATAATCTTGATTCAGTAATTCTCAATATGTGTAGCAATCAATTGTTTTTTTTTTCATATCTATTTTAATATATCATATATTCACCACACAAAAAACATACAGAACAGAAATACAAAATAAAGATATGAGAATCCTAATTGTCTTGTGGAGATGATGCTGTTGAACTATCTTCTTTATCTCCATATAATTTATGATCTGTATTTAATAATAAAGATAGATTAATGATTAGGATTTTCTGTAGGAAAAGAAAGTTGGATATTTATATATTATGATACAAAGCATGCATAGATAACTAAATCCTCACATGTAATAGCAACAACGCCTCCACAAAATTATATACAGTATCTCTATCTGTGAATTGTATCAGGATATCTACTGAACATAATCTAAAAGCCTATTTATGTCATTGCTATCCTGAATAAGAAGATACAGGTGGAGATTTTGCAGAGGGATTCTCACACAAACACTCCACTGAATATATGATTTGCCCAGCTTGACTACACTGAGTTCATCATATAATTTTTCAGACTCCAAGGCCCACTCTGTGTTATAACCACCACCAGAAATTGCAAGTATTTCTTCAGGTTTGTTAATATGCTTATGAAACTTATTATTGTTTGAGACATATTCAGCAATATAATGGTTTATGGTGTTTTATAAGATTTATATATGACTTATAGTTTGATACAGTACCTGGAAGAAAGTATCCGAACGCAGTTTTTCGAAAATTCCGCAAAATATTACATAATAAAAAAATAAATAAAAAATGTCATTTTGTAGCTTAGGTTCTTACGGTTATGCATATGAAATTTAAAGTTTTTTTTATTATCTAGAACTTTTTTAATTTTAAAAAAACGAAATTTAATTAAAAAAATTATATTTGTAATGATCAGCAAAATTGAAATAAGTTTTGAAATGAACAATCAATATTTTGTTGGCCAACCATTGCTAGAAATGCATGCCTCAATTCTTTTTGGCATGTTTAATGTTCAATACCATAGCTTTCATTTGATATAATTTAATGAATTTTTATTATGTGAAATTTGGTTATTTCACGAAAATACTGTAAAATTTTACAAATTTAATCAGATTTTGCTTTTTTAAAATTAAAAAAGTTCTAGATAATAAAAAAAACTTTAAATTTCATATGCATAACCATAAGAACCTAAGCTACAAAATGACATTTTTTATTTATTTTTTTATTATGTAATATTTTGCGGAATTTTCGAAAAACTGCGTTCGGATACTTTCTTCCAGGTACTGTATGTACACAGAATATATGATTCAATTTTTCCTTCAGTTATACAGAGAATTTCTTCAATCGCATTGTCTAGGTGCTTTTTAATTGCATAATCTACACGACCAGATACTTCTAGCTGAGGTAAAATTAAAACATTTGTAGCATGATCTTTGATAAGACCTTTAAGAATTGTAACTGCTGAATGCAAAATTGTTGAAATATATTCACATCTCATTGCTTCATTACTATCAATTACTGGTCCCATGTTTCTTAATCTTTCTAGAATGTTGTCTATGCATGATTTTAAAGCTGGTTCATCATCTCTGATTTTATAAGTGACTACAGTCAAGCCTCGTTTCAACGAATCTTGTTTCAACAAATTTTTGTTTCAACAAATTTTGGTCTTGTCCCCCTTTTTTTATTAATTAAAAATTTTCGTTTCAATGAATTTTTATATATATATTGTGTTACAACGACAACGAATTTTTTTGGTGGAATTTTTATATAATAGTCGAACGATTTGTCACATTAAACGATTGGGAAGTGTATTTTCCGAAATTTTTTGGTGATCAACGTCGAAAT